TTACAAAGGAAATGGTCCTCGCTGACGTCAGCAAAGGGGCGGCCGGCGCCGACACGCGGGGCCCACCGGTCAGCGGCACAAGAGCGCCGGTCCACCGTGGACCGGGACCACCGAGGCGGTCCACCGCCGGTCCACGGGAACCAACGGTCCGGATCGGCCCAAGCCGATCGGACGGCCACGAGACGGCGCGGCTGGGGCACGGGCACGGCATGAAACCGGCTCGGCCGAGCCAAGGCGCGGCGGCGGCATGCGGCCACCGGCGGCAGCAGCCGGCGACGCGGAACAGCGGCGGGCGGTCGGCGAAGAGGAAAAGGAGGAGGGAGGCGGCTCACCGAGAGGCGCGGCGACGGAGAGACGACCATGGGGAGGCGACCGGCGGCGGAAAGGATGGCGGCGGCCGGCACGGGAGGCGACGGGAACGGCGTTCCGACGACGCCCGACCATGGCGGAGCCGCGGCCGAGGGCCGGCAAGACCTGGGGAAATTATTGGAGCGGTTAGGGAGGGAAATAGGCGACCGGAGCGGCGAGAATACCACGCCGGAGAGGAATGGTGGGGCTCACCGGCGACCGAGAGATACCACGTTCCGGTGGGTTTCCGGCGATGAACAACGGTGACCGAGGTGCTGCACGGCGCTGCGAGGCGAGAGGTGAAGACGGAGCGACGCGGCGGCGGCTAAGGCGACGGTGGCACACGGCTGGAGGCGGCGTATGGTGGTGGTGGCTCGGGATGCACGGTGGAAGGGTGGTTGCGGTGGTGGAATGGGGAAACGGAGCGGAGGCCGGGGTAGAGCTTGGCACGGCGTTGCCGGCGGCGCAAGCGGCGAGGTGCGGCGACGACTAGCGCGGCGGCAGCGGCCGGCTGAAGGCGGTGTGTGGCGGTAGTGGCTCGGCCTCGCGATGGGAAGGTGGTTCCGGCGGTGGAGGAGGGAGATGGAGTGGATGCCGGGGTGCGGTGGGGTGGTGTGATGCTATAGGTGGTGGCGGCGCAGCGCGGCAGCGACGGGAGCGGCGGTGGCGGGCGGCTGGAGATCGCCGGCGAGCGGCGGCGATGCGGATCGGCGTGGAGAGCTCGGTAGAGGGCGTGGGAGACACGGGAAAACGGGGAAAGAGGAAGAGGAGGCCACGGGGATTGATTTTATAGCTCAAGGGGGCGAGGAGAGGGCCGGGGAGCGGCGGATTTCGAGGGGAAGTAGGGCAGCGTCGTGGGGGAGAGAGAAACGCGGGAGGCGGCGACGTGGCCGGATTTTGCGGGGAGAGTGGGGGGGGAAACGGCGCGGACGTGGGCGGCGAGGTCCCACGGACAAGCGCGCGCGCGCGGGGTGGAGGAGGTGGGCGGAAACGGCGGCGACGTTGGACGGCTCGGGCGGCCATGGCGGTTGCTGGCCCGGGCTGGAGGTTGGGGGTGACCCCGACAGGTGGGGCCCACCTGTCGGCGGCTCGGGGAGAGGAGGGAGGATGAGGGAGGCGAAGCGGACTTGCGCGAAGGAGGGGGCAAGCCGGGCCGACGGCCCAAAGAGAAGGGAGGAGGGGAAAAGGAGGGCGGCCGGGCCCGAGAGGATGGAGAGGGAGAAGATCTTGGGCCGAAAGCGGCCCAAAGACAAAGAGGGGAAATTTTATTTGTTTTCTTTTTATTTTAATTGATGCAATGATCTTTGTGCTATTAAAACTATTTCTCGAGCTCCGAAAATTCACGGAAAATTCCGGAGAGTACATTAGGGCACAAAGAATATTACAAAATATTCCCGGCCAATGATTTTTAAAGGGAAAATTTTAATTCTCCCAATAATTCACTTGATTAAGTTGATTTAACTTTTATTTAATTTCTAGAAAATACATTATTTAATGATTTTTAATCCCGAACGAAAATCGGGGCGTTACAATAATGTTGCTTTCATCAACCTCAGGCAGACCCAACTTAAGCATCTTAGCTTTAACTGATCCAGGTTCTCCAGCCGAGGACGGCGATGCTGGCGGCTTCTCGGCTATGAGGAAAACTGCTGCTGTGATTCTGACTTCTAATGTGTCCCACCGGGCGTGCCAAAAGCGTGTTGACAAAAAACACGAGGCCTGGGAGATCTGCTTAACTCCAGTGCAGGTCCAAAGATCGCCTTCGGATGTATGAGCGTGCCAGTTGATTTGATTCTGCAATCAACAAGAAACAAAGACAAAGAAACCGTGGTTAAATCTATAAATGATAGCCGATCGGCTGATTGCCGATAACATATCATTTATCTCTGAGCCGATGTCATATGTGAATCGATCGGCGATCACAAATAGGTAACAAGGAACTAAATTTACTCGATCGGCTGTAGATATCAATAATATGTAATCCTTATATCGATATATATTCAAATCAAGTGACTGGGATAGATCGGACGCCATGCCGAGACAGTATAAATCACTTAGATCAAAATACATATTAACAACAAGATTATATATGTTCATAGCGTAGCCGATCATGTAGATCTAGCATGTATCGGCTAATACTCCGATACCACTCTATATTAAGATATTAAAGCAAGTAAGATATACCAAACAGAAGCCTAATATACTTTAAATGCAACAAGATCTTAATATAAAGGCAGATTTAACATGTCAATCAAGCGTATAAGGTAAAAGTAGTTAAATCAGGTAAGATCGGCTGAAACTCCGATACTACCCTAATCGGCAACCAGAAGGCAGGCTAGAGATTATGGTTCTAAGCACGACTTAATAGATCAAACTCAACTGATGCAGCATTAAGTATGAAAAGAAGAACAATATCTAGACAATCAAGCCGCTGGATGTTTCATAGAGTGGTAGATATCTTATATAATCTAAGCCAACGTTGCTATTTAACCTAATCAGCCGCCTTCTACTAACAGATGTTAGCGATTATAGATTAGATAATGATATTGTCAAAGATTATATAAGATATATGATAACTCGACGAATTACATAAACAAGATTAGAGTATCATAGAGATGGAAGCACTAATCCCGGAAACACAAGCCGTCATAACAAGTTTTACCTCTTGTTGAAGATTGAAACCGATGCAGCTCAACCCGAAAGCAAGAACTCGTCGAAATAAAACTAAAGCAAAAAGGGTGGTGATGCACCGAAATTGTATTGAACGTGTGTGTTAATAATTACATAGGGCTCGGGGTCTATTTATACCCGAGAATTACAAGATATGTCCATATTGGACACTACTCTTATCTCTAACAAACTCTAAGATACCATAAGTCTTTGCGGCAGACTTTTGCCCAAGTTTATCTCTAAGGAAATTACATAAAATATCCTAATTAATAGATACAATTGCCTTCCCAGGACTCTATCCATGCACGGCAATCATCTTGAAGCACACCAACTCGAACCCGATGTCGTACACAAGTCATATTGTCGGAATCGGCTGTATCACTTAACCCAGTCTGACTCAGACTTAGCCGATCCCAGTTGTAGCCGATCCGGACTTCAGCCGATTTTACTCTATTTCCGCAACAATCCTTATCTTCGATTCTGCTTCGACTCCATCTTCATCTCCGATGCTGATATCACCAAATTTGGTCGTTAACAATCATGCGTTAATATATCATTCTATTTTGCATGTAGAGAGTGTTCCAACCCAGAATACACCCGTCCCACATGGATTCTACCCCTTATTCCTAGGAGAAAATTGGGAATATGCCATGTCTCAATGTAAGAAGTGGGTTTTCCCAAATACGATTTTCATCAATATCACCCCGACCGAAAGCTATAGGCTTCCACTTAGGCCGAGTTTAGTTCCAAACTTTTTCTTCAAACTTTCAACTTTTCCATCACATCAAAACTTTCCTACACATATAAACTTCCAATTTTTTTTCACATCATTCCAATTTTAATCAAACTTTCAATTTTAACGTGAACTAAACACACCTTTACTACGCCATGGATGGAGTGTACGAGCTGTTCTTGTTGGCTTCCTTCATTTTAATGGCTTGGAGGGTGATGACGACGAGCTTATGGATCCGGCATCGTTGTCGATGAGCGCGCGGGTTAGTTGAGTGCACAGGTCCAGCAAACGATGACGACGAGTGCGTGGATCTGGCGCCACCCCTGATGAGCGCACGGGTCCAAATGATGACGATGATGAGTGCACTGGTTTCGCCGGCCGCCGTCGTCACTTTTCTTCATCTTTGCATTTCTTAATTTGAGAAATGCTAGAAAAAATTTATTTTATGTTATCATAACTTACCGTACCCTACGTAACCGGCTTAAAGATGAAACTAACAAAATGGTTCAAACTTAGAGGTCCAAACTCATTTAGTCCTATTCACGTCAATCGTCTTATCGTCTGAATATATGACCTCATCAACTATATTATCATGTACTCCCTCCGTCCCAAAAAAAGGCAAACCCTAAGTTTCCGTGTCCAATTTTAACTGTCCGTCTTATATGAAAATTTTTTATAATTCGTATTTTTATTGTTATTAGATGATAAAATATGATTAATATTTTATGCGTGACTTGTCTTTTTAATTTTTTTCATAATTTTTTCAAATAAGACGGACGGTCAAACGTTGAGCACGGAAACCAGGGTTTGTCTTTTTTTGGGACGGAAGGAGTAGATAATCAGATTTAGCCTCTTTTAAGATTTTGGCTTTTTTGGTTTGACTTTCTTAAACTGAACCTGTTTTTAATTATAGGTGTGCAATGAAGATTTTATTTTATAACTTCGATAACCTCATTGTTATGGCTTTTAGGTTTTGAACGTGTACTAGTCATAGGATTACTACAAACATCCAATGTAGGAGCCAATTCCGAAAGAGTCGTCGGTTGCGGTTTAGCCGGTGGTGCCCCCTCAATCGCACGTCGGGTTTGAGCGGTGATGTTGTAGCGGTCTGACTTACCACTACTACCGATCAGACCAGCATATTGTGCTAAATTTAGGATCTACCATATTGAGAGAATTATTGGTACTTTTCATAATCTAATATCGTTGTATCTGAAGATATTATGAAGATGTATGCTATTATAGGAAGTAGTTGCACCGCCACCAAGCAATCGGCTATTTAGCCGATTCTCTGCTTATTCATGAGAGCATGTAGCGTTTTCTCAAAGATAGAATTAAAACAGATAAACCAGTTATTTAAACTAGCAACACAGTGCAGTAATAGTGTAGTACTGCCGCCGTTGACAGCAGCTGACGACACTCTATTTTCGTTGATGCCGGTGGCGAAGTCCAACGCCGACATTGTCTCGCCATCGCCTCCACTGCAGCCACATCCCACATAGTCTCGCTTCCACAGCTTGTGCCTATATACCTCACCAAGAACCAAGTGCGATCCGTCATGGTCTGCATAACAGCAGCGCCCCGCGGGTCAGAGGAAAGCTCCCGAACAGCTCCATGGCGAGCGGTACAGGATCTCGTGGCAAGGCAGCACAGGAGCACGGGAGCCACGGCGTGGCGCCGGCGCATGGTCGCGTATAACAACCACGATGGAGATTATTTGTAGCTGCCCAGAGATGAATGTCTCGGAAGATGGTGTAGGCGTGTAGCGAGTACGGACCGACATTTACACATTCTGATCATACTACCCTTCATCATGAATGGACTGACGTATAGACATGATTGGTACTCCTACCTTGGTACCTATTACTAATACCCATTAGTACCGGTAAAACAGCTCAAAACTTAAATTGCCCAGAACCAAAATATGATTACAAATGGCACGAATCCTGTAGAGGATTCGAGAAGTTTAGAAGTGTTTTCAGCTTTCGCTGCCTTTATGAGGTTCCACAAAATTCGCAGTATTCGGGGCACTTCGTTGCGTCACAAGTATCCTGGGTTATTTCTTTTTCCATGATGCTGTCCCAGGAAAGTGTCAAAGAACGAACACCTTCCTGTCACCTAATCTGATGATCACTTGCTGATTGCAGTTGAACATAGGCAAGGCCACCCGTCATTCCAGCTGCAACGTTCCTCCTTACTCTACCAATTGAGGAATATGCATATGTCAGGACCAGCGTCGGAGCCAAGGCCCGGCGACCCTGAGCAGCTGCCCGGGCTCTGCCGGCTACATGCAACCATGTCCCATTAGATTAAATCTAATTACCTAGCTAATCATATTTAATCACCGTATGAATTGAAACAACAATAGTATATAGTGTACATACTTATAACGATTTAGTGTAAAATAGCAAAGCAAATGCTCACTCTAAAATGATCTACAAATTTGTATAGATTTGTGTATACTATATTTGTTGTTAAACTTGCCTAGGCTCACGATCCGCCACTAGTCAGGACAAAACACTGTGATCCTCATTTAGCAGCATGTCCTACTTACTTCCCCCGTTTCACAACGTAAGTCATTCTAACATTTCCCACAATATATCTAGATTCATTAACATCAATATAAATATGGGAAATACTAAAATGACTTACATTGTGAAACAGGGAGGATTTGCCAACTACACAGCCACCGATCATGTACTCGCAGCAATGATCTCCAGTGCCCTGACCTCAACCACTGATTGACCAAGAGAGTTTCACCTGTTTTGCCTGTCACAAATACCTGCTCACTAGTAGCCAACACAGACAAGCGTTTCCAGCTATAGTAGCTTCGTCAGGAAGTCAGGAACGAATCCTGTGCTATCTAGTACACTCTACAGGAGCTACAACCATCTCTCCACCACCCATGCCCTGCAAATTCTTTTTTAAAAAAAGAGAGGGTATTTTAAATCTGGTCAGGATCAATTTTCAAATGTGCTGTATACATTTGGTACCTTTCCAACATAATCATTGGCCTCTCTCAACTTGCAGAGTATTCCAGGAGTTAGAAAACATCCAAAAGACTGGCCCTGCACTTCCAGTAAACCTAAAAGGCAAAAAACAATTATGCTCCTAACTTTTCATAAGAGAAACTAAAGAAAACTAAAAATAGAAAATGGTTAACATCGTAATGTTGAGCTGGCCTGCAAAGCCTGTGTCAGCGTACTTCTTCGCAATGACACCTGCTACTTGACCACAGACAGCCCTCTCAACATTATAATATCTTGGAAACCTCCTCATTCTCAATTACATCAGATATCTGCAAAATAGAATATATAAATAATGCTGCATCATTAAGCAAGATACAAGTATACAACTGCACACTTCGCTTTAAACTACAATTAAGGGCATCGATCGTCAAAATTAATTTCTGGTTTCAAGCTGACCAAATAGCAGAATGAAGGATTACTTTGATTGACTATTCACAAATCAGTCACTAGGGAGGTTAATGTAACTGAGAAAGGAATGGAAAACATTACATCAGGATTTGCAAGGATTGTCTCATCAAGAACAGGGCCATTAGTGTGGACATCTTGAACACATCCAGTAGCTATTCATAGCCACAGAACCAAAACCATATTCATCCACGCCCATGACACTAGCCATAAGGACATATTGGCAACTTCTGAATCCACCATCCACCCTACCATCCTCTCTCACAATCAATTTTGCATAAGTGTCAGGAGAAAAGTTAACTAGCATTAGAACAAACAAGATATTTCAATAGGGTAATAACAAACAAATAGATGAGGCTAACCTGGTGTGCTTCTGAAAGACCAAGTTCCCAAGGACCGGCAGAATGCTTAATCAAACTAATTGGCCTAGCTCCAGTGCCACCATCATAATCTGATGTGTGACAGAAATACAAATATTTCAAATATAAGTTTTCATAAATAATCTAAGTTAAATGCTGCAATAATCTAACTTCATTCGAAGAAGACTATAATGTTTAGTACATCCATTCAGTTTGTAAATTAGTTCAGTATCTTCATTAGTATGAGATTTTTTGGAAGAGACCATCATGCGCTACACTGCTAAAATTTTGGGGCCATTCTACTCCCTCCATTCCAAAATACAAGTATTTCCAGCATTCAAAATTTGTTCCACAATGTAAGCATTTCCAGGGCACTGATTTCAATGCACGGAAATCCATAAATTTTCAGCCAATTAGGTGCTTGGGAAGAGAATCTAAGCAATTCAAAATTCAAATTTTGACCATTGTGGTGACTGAAAGGGAATCTTATGACTTAATGTTAGTACTCCCTCTATCCCAAAATATAAGGGATTTTGGATTTTGACTGGTTAGGACACATCCTAATACTACGAATCACGAATTTGGACAGGGAGCCTGTCCGTACTAGGATATGCCCCATCCTATCAAAATACCTTATATTTTGGGACGGCGGGAGTATATGCTAAACAACCTAGAAATGCTTATATTTTGGAACGAGGGAAGTAGTAAATTTCTCAAAAAAAATCCTCCAAAATCTCTAACAGCTTCTAGGACACTTTTTTTCACTAAATAGTGGCATTCGTTAGCAAGTACTCAGCGTCAGTGCATATCCCATTCAGTAAAATATAGCTAACCAATATCTCAAGGAAGGAAATATTTCTCAATCTGGAGAAAGACAAACTACAAAAGGGAGTTATATCATTGTGAATACCATATATAATTGGCAAATTATGTAGCATAATATTGCAAACAAAACCCTATGCAACTTGATGAGGTATGCATTGCATCCGTAGCAAGAGTTAATCCGCGTTAATATGTAGAATGAAATTAGTTAACATGCTCTGCTTCTTTATTTCTGTGAGATACAGTACACATTATAAAGTAAATTTGGCAAATTTTAAGCATGCTCCTATTCCAACACAAGTTGTGAAAATAGAATGTTATCTTGCATCAGAACCATTAATAATAGCCAAGGAGAAGTGCAAAAAAGAACACAGATGACAAGAATTAAGTAATGTAGATAGCACCCATGAAATTCTGATGCCCCACCTGCTTAATGGAACTTGTGGCAGCGTCTCCATTCTGCAGACTTTTGAGATGAGCAAGTATTGGAGAATACTCATCAACAACATCTGCAAGGGGACTTCAGCGGATTGGGTCCGCAAAATAAGAAGTCCAGAAGCAATTAAATAGCTATCTTCATCTAACAGAAAGTTATCTGACGCACCTCACCACCTTCCCCTGAGTATCCCTCCTGTTCTATTCATTGCAATTGCAATAGCTTCATTTGTTTATCTGGAAATAGCTCCAAGGGAAGGGGAATTCCACCTGTACAAAATAACTCAACAATTGAGGTTGCAGAAGGATCTATGGATTGGCCACATCAAAGTAAGGATTAAGCATCACTAACATTGACAGGACGGTTTGCAGATGCTGGTACATGGTGTATGCATTATCACCTTTTTTTTTTTCATGAACTGCTTTGCGCGGCAGCTTTGACATCTCAGGATTATTTGCACGATATTCGCCTGTTCAGACGATTGAAAAGCACCAAATTTCAGTATTAAACAGTAAGACATGAGTACATGAGCTGATGAACTTCTTACATAAAAACAAATCTCCAAGCATTTACTATAGGGGATCTTATTGGGAAAACTTAAGAGGGCATCCTATAAAGTCAAGTTTTGTAAGCATCTACTACTGCTGCTCCTTTGTTTTGGAAAAAGGGTGTTTCAACTTTCACCATTACATGGGCATGGAGCAAATCCAGGATCACATGCTAGTGTGGCCAAACATTCCACACAAAATTCATGCAGGGCCATAAGTCATAACTGGTATATCATTAAAAATAGAATAAAATAATTTCTAGAACTAGATGATATCAGTTAATAGTACCATGGCACTTGACAGCAGAGGAGGATGCATGAAAATATCATTATTATTGGTGAATCCATAGAGGGACCCAACCAAACTTGATTTTGAAACATAGATAGACAGCACCTTAGTATGTACTCCCTCCGTTTCATAATGTAAGACTTTCTAGCATTGCCCACATTCATATAGATGTTAATGAATCTATACACATTAACATCTATATGAATGTAGGCAATGCTAGAAAGTCTTACATTATGAAACGGAAGAAGTATCACATATAAAAGGAAAAGGAAAAACACACATTCTGTAGAAAATGAGATCTCATATCATACCATCAAATTGATGTCATTTTGATTGAGGAAATGGCAGAACAGAGGCAAACAACGAATAAAATATGTTTTGACAACAATTGATTACTTAGATGCTACCTCCAGGTCTGTATTGGTCCTATTGGATGAACACAAAGTTTGCTAGACTCTTCGCAGAGAACGTCTTCACCCAGAATGATAATATTTCTCTGCCCAGCTTTACAAGAAAAAGATAAGGTAGTAGTGTCAGAGAAGTGTCAGCAGGTAACAATAGAAAAAGAGATAAACATTACACAAATAGGAGATGGTCACTTCTAAACATACAATGTGACAAGGCAATTAAATACTCTGTGAGATGGACCAAACTGCGCAAGAAAACTGTGATATACATCATGAACTGATATAGCAAAAGAAAAAAAAAACCTAACAGATTCACACACAAATGATCTTACCTAAATAAGAGCAAAGCAGGTCCATCTCAAGCCTCCATGTGACCTTTATAGTAGTCATAAAAGTGGATCGCTTAATGCACAAATCAAGAGAACCTTCACTTCGATAGAAATTGCACCAGTTAGTATATGACAAATTTGATGTATACCCATGGCTTCTATATCTACTAATGCACTCCATATCTCAGGATATTTCATCACAATGTGGGATGTATGCCTCAGGAAAAGAATCATAAGAGCTTCAGCAAGACTTTACCACTTCTTAGCAGCAACTGGTGCAAGAAAGAATTTCATGATTTAATAATACAGCAGTTTTGCAGCACCTTTTAATGTAAAAAGTTTATTGAAGAAGAGAACAGGGTGCATGATGCACATTCAGATTGATACATAGAAATGGTAATGCACACTGAAATAGATCAAGTTAAAATCATGTTGCTTAGCAACTAGCAGTAACTTGCAACTTTATAACATATGGAAGTACAACCTCATTCCCCACATCTCAAAAGCATTAAATTCAAACTAACACAGGATGTTTGCATGCATACCGTGCATCTTTCAATTGTTTTAGAACTTTAGAATTAAACGCAAGTCTTTTTCATCAGATTTCTGTATTTTGCATCAAGAAGAACCCAAAAAAAATCGTACATGCCATTATTACAAACAAGAAGCAAGCTATGTCAATGGTATGGACAAGAAGCACTAGTAATAGATGCTCCATGTGCAGCCTCTTACTTCAGCAGTGCTGTCAAGGTTTGCTGTAGTGTTTCATGCTCAGATGCTTTAGGGTCACCAAATGGGTGTATTCCATGCTCGCACCTGCGCCATACAGGAGACTGTACTGTGGCTTCCCTTGATTGCATCCTGCTCAAGTTCCCTTACAAGGAAAGGAACACTATGAGTATGCTCCAGGTATGTTTATTCTTCAATAACGAACTTTCCATAACAGCAGAGGCAGCGAACAAATAAAAGAAGTAAAGATTTAGGATGTAAATGTAAATGTAAACCTATATTGCATTTCTCTCTCCATTGTGCCCTAGTAACCTCACTGATTGTGCAAGAGGCCATCTACGATTTGTATTGGTACTGCATTTTCTTTGTTATATGGCAAAAAGAGATTTGTAGAGTCCATTCCAAAGGTCCAAATATAATTTCCCTAATACAATTCTGCACTTCTGCTTGACAAAGAACACAAATAAAGTCCATCCCTCCCTATCTGTTATCCGCATTATCCTTTTATTTTGCGAGTTTCACAAATCTGTTGTATATCATGCATGGTTCTTTTTGCATAGCGACCTACCACTGATACATTAAAAAGAACAGGCCAGCCAAGAACCTCAAGGCCATTGTCTGTGAATACCTTGGTAACATCTGAAAAGGCGACATGGTGCCACTTTCAGATCATGCACGATAATGGTTAGAAGCCAATATGGTAACTGCTGCCTAACAAGCATAACAATGTGATTTTTAAGAGAAAACAGGAACTAGAACCTAACCACCATGCCCATTTTCACTTGTGCAGCAGATGTCATTATGAGTTTTATACGAGAAATGTTCCTTTGAAGCTACGAAAATCTTAGCACAGAAGAAGCTGAAACTAGACTTGTTACAGGTTATAACTTATAATTGTTGATACAAACAAATACTATTTACTTTCTCTTTATCGAACATGCAGGAAAGCTGTATGTCATTTCATTAAGAAGAGATAAGAAAAGTACAAGGAGGGATTAAAGAAAACCTCTCCAAACACATCCAACACACTTCTACAAATGCGCCACACTTCAGGATCTAGACCATACCAGCCAGATTGTGTCAAGGGCGAGCGACCGAAAAAGGAGCTCATGAAGTGCAGAAGCTCTAACTATTTACTTTCTAAAACTTCACGTGCCAAGCGATGATAGTGGGCCAGAAAAGGATCAAGGAGTCATTGGATGTGAAGTATGGCAGCATTAAGAAGTCCCAAACTAAACAATTGAAGTGGGTGGCAACAAGACATGTTTTCGCGAACAGATATGTTATGATCAACATGAACACAGTAAGTATTGGCATTGAAGACAGGAAATGCTCGGTGATATGGGCGGCATCCGGCATATTGAGGTAAGCATCAGAAACACTACTAGCCTCTTCCATGGAATTTTTGTCAACTTCAGCTACTAGAAAAATACTTTTCAAGTGCCAGATTTGTCAGTCAAAAGAATCTATAAATGAGAAATCATCACTGCAGTTCCTCAATGACTATACGTGTACAGTTCAAAAATAATTACCTAACTATCGATGTACTCCTTGAAATCAAAGTTCCACACAGTTCAATTGCAAAATGCCCTTCGAACGGTATTCAGTTACCAAACCCTAGAGGCAGTCCCCCAAAACAATGCTCATGGCACGAAAGGAGATCAAGAAACTTCACCACGCGGAATCCATTATCCATAGCGGAGATCAGGTAGGCACGTTACTTACCACGCGGAGAGGAGCCCGGAGTCCTTCGTCGGCGCACCGGTGGGCAAGGCGCGGTGGTGCCTCACGGCGACCTCGGCGGCTCCGCCGGCCGCCCCCGCGCCCGCCGCCGGCGCCTCCCAGTTGCTGCACACCCATGCCGCGTCCGCGGGTTCTCCAAATTGACGACGACGACGACGACGACGGGTTACTTCCGATTTGGATTGGACAGGACACACACACACCTCGCACCTGTATCTGTAACCCCTCTGGACAACCGGGCCCCACCAAAACAACCCCTGTGCCCACTTGCTCCTAGCACGCAACACACCATCTCTCTCGCCCGGCTCGTCCCTTCTCTCACTGCCACCCGGGCCCACCCCTCCCGACGCCCGAACGTCCAAGCACCCACCCCGCCGCGTGTGCGCGTGCTGCTGCTACCTTCTTTCTTCTTCAGGGAAACAAACCCCTCCCTCCCACCCCGCACTTCGTCGTCTCCTCGGAAACCTCACCGCCTCCCTCCCCTCCATTCCCCACCAGATGCGGCGATGCTCCGCCGTGCAATAGGCTTACCCGCCGCCGCCGGTCGCGCCGCTTCCTCTCGGTGGCGTGGCTTCCTCACTGTCTCATTCGATCTCGAGGATGGGAAGCATGAGCGCGCAGAGTTCAAGCTCTCCGTACCGTGGGGAAGCACATCGGCGTCTCCCTCCGGCGATGCGATCGAGAGGGCTGTATCTTCTGAAGGCTGCAAAGTAGACACATCTCGCTTGACTATGAACTCCATGGGGAAAGGAGGAGTCATCGCTTCATCGGTGCTCATGACCGCCACCAACTTCGACGCCAGCAAGGCCAGGTCCCGTCGAGGAAGAGGAAGGCAGATGAACTTGGTGGACATTCACATCTGGCCTCAGGAGTCCCGGGCGGCTGCAACATTGATGCGGAAAAATGGTACTATAATATTTACATTTATATCATGTCGACCCATTAATTGTTTGAGATGCAAAATTGTGCCGGTTTTTTCTTCAGTTATTGTTCATGTTGTAATGTTGGTTTAGTATAGCAACCTCCATCATGAATAATTAAGGTAACTGCTAGAAAAGTAAAAATGATTGCTAAAATCTATCATGATGTTTATGCCTTAATTATGCTAGTGATCAACCAAAAAAAAAGTCCAGTTCAACGCCTAGATCATATTGTTCCTAGAAAAATGTTTGCTCGCAGTATGACATATAGTACTTGTATGATTTGATTTTCCTGAATTGCTCACGGAAAGTACTCGTATGATGCGGTTTATCCCTGCGACTTGATTTCCAAAGTTCAGTGTTTAGTTTAGCCTTAAACTCGATCTGTGGTCCTAGTTAGAGGTTCAGTTTCTCCTCGATTATATTCACAATGTTGCTTAAGTACTGGAAGTGCAGATCAATTAGATAGATCTTCGAATCTGCTCTGAAATTGGTTCATCATTAATGCGCCGTAAGCTTTGTTTGTATGGTGAAACTGGTTTGTGTGTGACCAAAATATAGTCACTAAACACTGTTAATAGCTGAATTTTGGTATTACTAGTAAACATTAAGTTGGTGTTGATAATGAAGGCCTCATGGCAGTTGGGAATATAGTTCATTCATTATCGTTGGTTAAGGCCTCCAGTTGACAATAGCTCACTAGAAATGCCACCTGATGGTTTGACTGCTAATTCACTTCCTCACGATCATGTATGCATTCTAGTCCTAATATATTGACGTGTAATCCTTTTGCGTGTTAGCAAGCAAATAAAAGTTTGCATTCTAGTCAATCGTTTGAAATGTCCTGTTTGTTTCATTTATCAGCTTATGAGTAGAAACTTCAGTGCCAACCGATTTGTTCTGGACAGCAGCAAGTAAATGATTGCCGTTGCACCTTGTGTGCGTCATTACCTCCTTTTGTTCTGTTGCCGTGAAGTGTAACACGTCTTGCAGTTGATATTTATCTTGAGAAGGAGTTGATTTAATCAATACTTGTTGTAGGATTGCTGTGTGAAACAATGCATCCATATATATGATGGTGTTGCACTGTCCTTTTTTTAGGCAAATGATGGTGTTGCACTGTCATTGGAACTAGAATGCTGAATGTGATATGTAGTCTAATTTCTTTGTTTTCACATGTTATTTGCAACACTATTTAACCTGCCAATTTAATTGATACATGTCTCAATGTTCTCATTTTGGTGCACCATTTGGCATTAGGAAAAATTGGTTCCATGACACGAAATATACTGACCATGATTGTGAGCAATTAAAATAAACAGTTGAAATTCACTCCTAAATTGTATCGAGTATGTTCGCTAAATGTATTTTTTTCTCAACATCCAAGTTTCGTTCATAGTTGCACCATAGCTATAAGGAAGAGCTGCATCACTTTTCAGCTTTAAATAATTTTATGTGATACAGTGATGCTTGTAATGTGCAGATAAATCTAGATTGGCTTGGCATTCTACTTGGAGCTTTGATATGGAATCAACAAATTCACCACGTGGGAAAAGTCTTTTAACAGTTAGTATTTATTTCTTTTCATTTGTCAATGTTATACTATTGTGCAACACATTATGACAATCATTCTTATTTGAAAACAGAGCAATCTATCTGACAAAACACAGGACCTGCAATATAAAGGATTCATTTGCAATGAAATTGCGAATGAATTTGAGGTTTCTTTGAAAAATCACTTCTCAATCCACCAGACCCTAGGTAAGTGAGCACTATTAATACTTTGTCTTCAGAAAATATAGTATATTGTGTAGACCTAAATATAGCATCTGTACCAGGAAGGGGAGCGGAAGGTCAAGTGCTCCGATGCAGTACTCAGAAAGGTGCCCATAGATCTGCTGTTAAGAGATGTGATGTTCCAAGAAAGCATGCTGATGAAGAGCTCAGGTAATATAAATTGTCTTAGTTTCTGTAACTAAAACAATGATGGAAGATTTATTTATTTCCTAGACCCTAATAATTTCGCTGTCATTTTTATAAAACCAGAGAAGCCAGAGTTATGAAGATGCTTCGTCACCCAAATATAAAGAAACTATATATTGCTTGGAAAGAAGAAAAGGCTGGAACTCATTATTCATCTGTATACCTGGCACAGGAGTTGTGCAAATGGTAATACACTTCTTGTTTGTTCACTTGTTTCTTTATTGAAGTCACAATCTGATCACTTGTTGAAATTGATTTTTTTTCAGTACTTTTGATGATTATTTGGACCGAAAAAAAAATGGAGACATTGATGAAGCTTGAGTTTTTCAAGGAGGCAGTTCTTGGCATAAACTATCTCCACCAAAAAGGATTCATTCACAGAGACATCAAGCCCAGTAATATATTTCTTGATAATTTGAACAATGTTAAGATTGGAGATTTCGGAAGTGGTAAGTACTGATATCATATTTATTCGTACTCTAACATCCCTATGACATAATTTAAATTTGGCCTGCCATCTTAATACGGCATGTTTATCTTTCTGGTAGGTGCTTTCATGGGATCTGCTTCTTGTTTGGGAAGGGGCAATAGGTTCTGGGGTACTCAGTTCCATGCGTCTCCTGAGCTGTGGAACATGCATACTCACAACGAGAAGGTAACATTCACCATTTTCTGTGTATTTTTTACCTGACTAGCTTAGAGCCCGTGCATTGCAATGAAATACAAATTGAGATTCTAGCTTATTAAATCAATTAATAAGCACTATTTAATTTAAGTAATACTATCATTTGTTTTATTAAACAAATAGGTGATTTTGAAATTTGGAGGAAACTAATAGTGAAATGGCCAAATGGGGGAGAACTTGTTGAAAGGTGATATAATAGTATAATAGATTGGTGGGCTCAGATATTAGTGGTAGGGGGTAGTGTGAGAATGAATACCACCATTACTAATATTTAAGTAGTATATAAAACCTTGACAAATTAGAGATTACTAGTATGATGAACTCTCCTTTAAATTCATAGAATTTCTAGCTTGCTACGGCAAATTTGCTAAAAGAATTTTCTTCATTTTCATTCATAGACTGATGTGTTTAGTCTCGGAATCCTGTACTTCGAGCTCTTTGGAGGTCCCACGAGCAGCAATGGAAGATACAAAAGACTGGAAAAACTTGAAAGCATTTTGAATAGCAGCAAATGGAAGACTAATCCACTTCAAACATGGCTAAACTGCAATATTTCTAAAGGATGGGGTGGAAAGGTGCCAGTACTAATCCGGATGCTACAGATTTCACCAAGACTGCGTCCAGCATGTCGCGATATACTGGTATGTATATATAGTCAAAACTCAAAGCACTAACTTCTATATTCTCATGATACTTGGCTCAGTTTACTTTTGTTGTGTTATCATATCATTGATTTATTTTTGCAGCTGATGCTTAGTTGATGTGTTACCTAGTCAAATGTGTACAAATGGAGCAAATGATGTAAACGGAAGAAAGGTAGTACAGATGAGAAAGAATGACAATATTGATGAGAGCGTCTCAAGTTTTGGGAGTTGACTATTGAGATGTTATCGTCTTAAAAACAATATTATCGCTGTTTAGTTTTTGTTACAGCAGTTTATAGCCCTATGTGAACTACCATGCTATGCTTCCACTTGATGTAGTGGCGGAGTCAGATAAATTTTGGAGCCCGGATAAATTTCAATATAACTAGTCTTTGTTATAGAAATTTCATCATCAATTTACTCATCATTATTAAAATTTAATGGAGTTTTCGTGGCTCCGCCACTGGCTTGATGTGTTGCTTTTCGTTTATCCCTCTGCTTAGCAAAAATATTTTAATAATGTGATTCAGATAATCGATGAGTGCATAATTCCTGTGCGTGCGAAGCCGCGAACATTCGGGAAGCCGCCATCTGCCGCTTGGTGGCCCTTTCGCCGGCCAGGCCTTTGTGCTGGATGCCTGGATGGCTCTAATTTTGGATGGAGGGAGGCACCGTGTCATCGCAAAAGGGGAATTTTGTGGTTCTTTCCCTTCTTTTTCCTTTGTATGAAAAAAAAATGATTTGAGGTGGTTCTTTGCCCGTGCCTGATATGTTCTTTTCTTTTTTGAGAGAATATGCCATTCGGCTAGATTGACCATCGTTATTGACTATTGACGCGATCATCAGTCATCCACATTGGAGTTGGACACCGCCTACTGCAAATGTGACGGAAAAGTGTCACTGGGTCGAGACGTTAAGGACTGAATTGGTCTTTGGGCCACAATACACTCAATAATAAGTTTCCCGTTCAAAACTTGGGCTGGGCTGTCGCATTGATGAGGCCCATAGGCCGAAAAATTTCTAAATTGGGCTTCTGCACTACAAACCGAAGTTTCAGTCGGCCTTCTCGTTTTTCTTTTTTTCTTTTTCCTTTTTACTCCGCCTCTGGTACTACTAGTGCGCTTGCTCGCTGGACGGCTGGAGCATGTCGTACTAGTCCAGTTTGTACTTTGTACCCTTGCAGCTGTAGACTGTAGTACAACGTGAGTGAGCGAAGCATGTAGGGTAGACGTATACTCGACGCGACAGAGAGAGCTTCGTATTGCGCCAAATCGCATGTGAATGTACCTACTCGAGCAGAGAGTTTCAGAGAGCTAGCTGTAGCTGAGCCGCTCAGGCCTCAGCTCGATCGCTCGATCACGGCCGTCGCTCACGTGACCTTTGGAGCTACTGGTTGTTGTTGCAGTGGCACGCGGCACGCCGCCTCGGCGCCTCTGTTGCATCCTACAGAGTACAGGCCGAGAATCCTAGGCAGTATGAGCAGTTCTATCTGTTCATCGCAAATGCAGTTTTCTTTCCCTGTTCATCGCGATCGATCGATCGATCGATGGAGTTGTTATTTCGCTAGCTAGCTAGCTGAATTCTTGTGTGTTCATCGCGATCGATTGATGCACGTGAAGGAGAACAGAAATGGTCGATGATCTTTCATGTTCAAGGACAGGCTTGTGAATTAAGCATGCATGGCTTTGTATTGTACGTTGTACCGTGTATGATCGACAACATTATTGGTCAGGTTGGGTTTTTGTCGCCGAACAGAATTTCGGGCCGGCACAGCGGGATGGCACGAACAATTACGAGTACGTACGTATCTTGTCTGAATCCTACAACTTGACTCGTCTCGTCGCTACCTCTCGTCTGTATACATACCATGATCGATGATGGTACTTTGGAACATCTCCGGTCGTTGTTGCGGGAGATAGAGCTCTCGGATCGGCAGGACCAATTGACCAATTTATTTGGAAATGGGAGAGTTCAGGCCTGTACTTCTCCCGCTCCGCCTACCAAGCATTGTTCCTCGGTCTAATCCCGTTTTAATTCACGCAGATCTGGAAATCGCTGGCGCCGCCGCATTGCCGTTACTTCAGTTGGCTGGACGCACTCAACCGCTGCTGGACGGCGGACAGGTTAAGCATCAGGGGCTTGCCCCACCCCAGCATGTGTGTCCTATGCGATGAGCATGAGGAAAGCATCAACCATATTTTGGTCGCATGTCCAGAATCAAGATAGCTCTGGTGGCTACTGCTCTTGGCAATCGGTCGCTCGGAGTGCTTGCCCGTCAATGAAACCTCATTCCACTCCTAGTTGTGTGACAAGAGGGAAACCTTACCGAGCTCTCAACGGCGAGGTTTCGATACCATTGCTACTCTCGCAGCATGAACAATCTGGAAGGAATGGAATAACAGGGTGTTCAACCAGAAGCACAGAAGCTAGACAGAAGTGCAAGGGCAATGGTGGAAGAGGCAGCGCTGTGGCGGCTCACCAATACTGCCATACCGGCCATGCCTTTAGAGCAGGTACAATAGCAGACTATTAGTCAGCTACAACCATATTTTAATAAGATAAAAGATGAGAGAGAAGAGCAGCGGGCTACAGATCTGTAGCCAGCTGCAGCACGAACTCCAAGACGTAATGTGTGTATGATAGGTGGGACCATATACTAATAGTATAGTAAGCAATTATTGTATGAATTAGCTATTAGATTGGCTATAAATAAATTGGAGCTAGTAGTGGGCTATACTATTAAACTTGCTCTTAGAGCGCTCAGGTCGCAACATTGTATCGCGAGAATAGGGTTTAATGCTCTTGGGTGACTTCCTGTAATCCCGTCTCCTGCTGTGTTTTCTCTTTCACCTGTACAGACTTTTACTCCTCTTAATATAAAGATACGCTCCTTACGTATTCCCAAAAATGGTACTTTGGAACAGACTTGGCGCAACCACAATCCACAAAAATGCTATAGTTAAACTCCTTAATCATGACAATTTAGCATCGATCTCAATGATGATAAGCATGGATCCGTTGCCCCTTCTCTTCTAAATTCTGAAACCCAGCATGCGTGAGCGATGAGCCACAAGCTACTGCCAACTGAATCACTTCAGCAGACTTGTCTAAATCTGCAATTGTTTCTTTTTCAGCTTTTGCGATAAATGAGTATAACTACTACTTGCCAATTGAGATTTATCCATGGTCAACAGATATAAGACGGCAGTCTTTGTTTCTTCTTTTTTACTTTTCTAGTCCAAGCATCCGAGAAGACAAGTCCCCACCAAACTAACTAATTGTAACAGTAACTAATTCAGTCCAAAGATGCAAGTTATATAGAATCAGACAAGGACATCGTTTTCTCAGGAGAAAACTTTCTTCAGGGAATCATTTAAAAAAACAGGGGAGGATAGTGACAAGTGCAAATCTCATGCACACGAGACAAAATGTCAGATCTTACGTCGATACGGGGCCTAATGCGAGTACTTCTGCTAGTCTCGGGCATATAGAAACAAGGTTAGAACAGTTCGCGTTCACGAGATGTTTGTCAAAATTCCATGCAGCCAAATGCATCCACAGCACTATGTCACCCCACCAGCTGGCCAACGAATGCTGCTGCGTATTTCGCATGTATATGTATGTTGGTGCCATCTCAGCGTCAGTCTCTCTCTCTACTGATGTGTTCAGATCACATGATCGAGAGCTACTACGACTCCTATCCTGTCTACGTACGCTCCCCTCCCCAATAAAACAGGGGAATGTGGGTGCACGGCGAATATTTCGAGACAGATCGAATGCAACAAACATGTGTGCTCATGTCGAATACGCCCCCGGGCCCTGCATACTCATCAGTCTGATCTGTTCACCAACATTGCTCCTCCTCCTCCTCCTACTCCTACATACTCATCTAGAGTGGATTTTAAACTCTCACGGAGACGTATACTCGTTACTTGTATGTCATTGTATGTCATTCAAATAGTTATTAAGAATTTTGAGAAGATATATTAACATGTGATATATCACTACATAAATATGTAAGTTAAAATTCAATTTCTACATATCGCAAAAAAAAAACTTAATAAATTGATGTGCAATCATTTTGCGCGTTCGCGAAAAAAAGCAAAAAAAAAATAACTATGAACATACATTAACTAGTTGTAGTTTAATTTGTTTTTTCTGATGTAAGATGTAGAAATTGAATTTGAACTTACATATTTATGGAATGATATATCACATATTAATACAGGCTCAGGACCACGATTACATATTTATGGAGTGATATACTACATATTAATATAGGTACAGGACCACGATTTATGTAAGATGTAGAAGTTGAATTTGAACTTACATATTTATGAAGTGATATATCACATATTAATACAGGCTCAGGACTACGATATGTAAGATGTAGAAGTTGAATTTGTACTTATAAGTGTGAAAAAAAAACTAAGGCTCAGAACCTTCATTCTAAGCAATTAAAAATAAAGCCAACTACCAATATTTCTCGCCCCTGCCAAGGACCACGATTTGACCTCCTCTTTGATCGGCTCGCCTATACGCCTCTATACACCACTGCATGCATGTTGTACGTGTAGTGAACACCGGAAAGTAGTTTTGAATTACTCCCTCCGTTCACAATGTAAGTCATTATAACATTTCTCACATTCATATTGATATTAACGAATATATATATATATATATATATATATATATATATATATATATATATATATATATATATATATATATATTAACATCAATATAAATGAAGAAAATGCTATAATAATTTATATTATGAAACGGAGAAAGTAGTACGTACATGATGAGAGGCCGGCAGCTAGCTAGTGTACGGTGTCCTCTGCGAGAGACATAGATCACGAGAGTACGTACTAGCTCCATGTAAATTGGTACCGCTGCGTGCAAATATTGCAAACTGAAGTCTCTGGTTGGATACTTGGATGGTCGCCAGCTGCGTCCCGTACTGCATATGCATGCATCCACATGCATGTGGGCGGCCTCAGGCCTGCAGCATCGATCACGGCCGCGAGGCATACGCGCTCTGCGCTTGTGCAGTGACAAGACGCGCGGCGTCGGACGTACGTACGGCGGTCACGCGCCGCATGCATATATGCGAGTTAATGCGATCGATCGATCGATCGGTCGAGGTCTCGACAATTTGCAGCCGGCCGGTAGTTGTGGTTCATCCGAACGTTAGCCTGCAGCGATCGAGAGCGTGACCGTTCAGGCCAACACATGCACTTCACACTTGCCATTGGCCAGGACGTACGCAAGCCGTGTCTGCTTGTTTACACAAGACACGACATGTCTACACGACTTATTGCCAGGTGTACGTACATCGCTAGCTATGCGTCTGTATATGCGCGTGCAGCCACACACCCCGTGACGGACGACACACAAGAGATGTATCTGTCCATCAAATCGTACGTACGCGACGAGCGAGCGAGCCCTGCCTGCCAGCACACATCAACCTGGACTTTCTGATGAATTAGCAGACTAACGTAGCGCAGTTTGTTCCCAGTCCAGCTAGATTGTGTGTCGTGGTCACGATGGACCGTGGACCACCGCAGTTTTCATACCCCCTCCGCAAATCCGGAAATTTTCTACTAAAACTATAAACGGATCGATCGATCGATCGATCGAACTGGAGTATAACTTATTGGCCTCCTCGAACAACAGCCTAGCCTAGCAATGTTGTTGTGTGGTCCATGATGCTAATTAAACCGATCGATCGAGACACGACGTGCGTGTCCCTGTCGTCCTAAAAAGAATAAAATGAGCACGTCCCTCTCGGTCGAACTAATTAATACGAGCATTAGCGCGTGATCGATCGATATGCACGAGCGCGCGTGCGCATGCAGGGCGCGCGCGGACGATATTTTCCGGATATACGCATGGAATTCCGTGGAGGAGCACATGCATACGAGAGCGAGGGAGCGGACGCGGACATCTCGTCGTCGTGTGTCGCCGTGCAGGCCGCGTACGCAACGACGTGTCGTCGTATAATTCAATATATGCGCGTACGCCTCGCCTCGCCTCCCTCTCCCAGGTCCCAGCTGCGTGCTAGCCTAGCCGATCGAGCTGTGTGCGCGCATATGCGTCGTCACGAGCCACCCGGCCGCATGCAGCAGCAGCAGCAGCAGCAGCGAACTGCACATCCGCGCGCTCGGCTCGTCGTACGCGCGCTGGAATGAACTTCGCCACGCAACCCGTGCGGTCGGCGAGAGGAGCCGAGAGGGCCGGGGTCCCGGGGGGGGGGGGGGGGGGGGGGGGGAAGACCGAGCCACGCAACCCGTGGCATGCAACCCTCCAACGCACGCACAGCTAGCTAAGCTTTAGAGTACTCCTAGCTAGCAACCGCGCGCATTTTCTGACCTGTCCACTTCAATTCTCAGGCTCCATCTGCTTTTATTCATCGGTTTCATTAATTGTTTCTGTTACATACTGGAGTAGTAAGGATAGATAGACACATCTAGTTCTATCGTTTTGTTTACTTTCGTGTTTATTAGGTCTGTCCACATTGCTTTGTACGTGTTTAATTTGTTGACTAATGCATGTTTCTCTCATCGATCTTATAGGTTCATTGTATACGCAACCCAAATATTTCAGTTCAGAACCGCACGTTTGTCAACCATGCAGATACCATTAAACAATTTAGAGCATCGATCGGTCGCCAACATGCATGGGCAAGCAGCAGATGAAAACTGAGTGCATATGCAGGGAAAAACTCTGAAAGACTCTCTCTGCAGTACGTTAGTAAACGGGGCAAACTCCAATTTAACTAGCTAGTTCTTGCTCCTCCAACAATCCTGGCCTCCTGAAACTAAAACGTCTCTCACGTTGCTAGCTAGCATAATTGACTTGCTACTATATATATGAACAGTTCGCATGTGCAGAATCTTTTCTTCGTCCTCTTGGTTTCCCTTTCAATTCATTCATTTCATTTCCTAGCTAGCTAAAGACACCATAACATCACGTGGGTACGCGACCGCGCAGGATACCACTATAAAGACGTAGAGAAAGCCTCTCATCATCAGTACTCATCACCTTCCTTTGAAGCAGCAGGTCGTAGCTAGCTAGACACCCGCGCTCGCTCGTCTCCATTGAAGCGAGAAATAAAGTAGAAAGACACAGACACACTTGAGTAGAATTTTAGAGATGATGTCGAGAGAACGCAAGAAGGCAGCTGCTCTACACGAGAAGCTGCAGATCCTGCGCTCCATCACTCACTCCCACGCGGTAACTGATCAGTGATCCTTCTTCAATTCGCCTTAATTTCATTAGTTACCTGCTGCTTATGCATGCTTGCTTCCTATGCTTCTTTTGCTCCATATATATGCCTCTGCATCCATTCTACTACCAGTCTACCACCACTCAATTTGCAGTATTGCAGTAGCAATACTATATTCGCATGTAGGTCGATTCGATTGGTCTTCAGTATATTCTGTCCTTTTGCCATCACTAATTCACTACAGTATATTCTGCTTTTGCCACGTAAGCTAGGTTTTGAATACTATAATAGTAGTAGATCTTGATGATTGATGAATGAACAAACAACTCAATTCTGTTTGCCGAGAGGGCACGTGCTGCATGCGATGCAATTCTACTTTTAGCTCTAGAGATATCATGTACTTGAGCAGATGGAAATTAATTTGAGCGAAAATCACACAGTATCTGACAAGGCTTTTCCCTCCACTTAATTTGTGACCATAACATGACAGCTCAGCAACACCTCCATAATCACGGACGCGTCAGAGTACATCAAGGAGCTAAAGCAGAAGGTTGTCAGGCTCAACAAGGAGATCGCATGCGCAGAAGCTGCAGCACTCAGACAGAACTCCATCCCCACGGTAGCTACTAGTCACATACATGCGTATGCCCTGCATATATATGTACTCCATATAGGAGTATATATATAAATTTGATCAATATATATGGGTGTGATTGGATCAATGCAGGTGACGGTGGAAACCCTAGGGCACGGGTTCCTCATCAACGTGTTCTCTGACAAGAGCTGCCCCGGGTTGCTTGTTTCTATCCTGGAAGCCTTCGATGAGCTGGGCCTCAATGTACTCGAAGCAACGGCATCTTGCGACGATACCTTCCGTCTTGAGGCTGTAGGAGGAGAGGTACGTAACAAGAACTCAATCATTGATGTGTCGTCCCTTAATTGGCCAAGTATTTATACGCTCTTGCTACTGGCTAGCTAGTCTGAATGCAGCTGTCGTCGTTGTGTCCATAGAATTCCCCAATTATTCGCGTCACGACGATCAGCAAGAAATGTTTATACAAGTGGGCGATCGATATTAATTCTGGTCTCTGTCGTCAAGTATAGTAGCTGAGATTATTCGTCATGATGGTTTGGTTTTTGCATGCACGATGATGACGATGCTGGAATCTGATCTGCAGAACCAGGTGGATGAGCATGTCATCAAGCAAACGGTGCTCCAGGCCATCAGCAACAGCAACTGCTCGGAGAGCAGCGGTGACCAGGAGGGGTAGAGCAATGGTGATCTTCCATTTGCATTGGATGGCATTTTGATCAGGACAATCATATCGCGCTTATGGACTGCAGCTAGCTGAATTTCATTTCCCTATCTAGCTTCTTGCTCGATCAGTTGCAAATTTTCCGTGACTCTTCTCTTGATTGACATCTACCCGAGATGATGAGCTGCAAATATCTATGTCAGATGAAACCCTAGCATCCCCTTGTACTACCAGATAATGATATTATATATGTGTACGTACGTAGTCCATAATCCATATATGGAGATTGGCAAGGTGTAAGATATGCTAGCTAGCTGTACGTTCATTGTACTACTGATATGATGACCATAGTAAGCTCATATATGTTTGCCCTTTCCCTGCCTGCGTAGATGGTGAAACCAATGAGAGTACTTATCTCACATTATAAGAAGAGATAAGAAGTTGGGAATAACTGAAAATTCAGCTGTTAAGTGCAGAAAAATGTGAAAACATGTGACCATGATTAACTTCCTTTACCTCTCATTATATGATTTCTCTGAACCTTGCCACTACTAAGAAAACACTAACTCGATCTATGGTCGAGGCCGTACTAAAAAACTGCGTACTACTTCCGTTTATAAATATAGATAACATTATTAACTTTTAGCATAACGTTTAGCATTCGTCTTATTAAAATTTAGTGTAATTATGCAAGAATATAAGTTATGTTTACAATTTTCTTTAATGATAAAATAATTCAAAACAAAATAAATGATACTTATATAAATATTTTGAATAAGACGAATGGTTAAACTTCATGCCAAAAATTTACGGTATCATCTATTAAAAAAGGAATAAAGTAGTTGATGCGGAACAGCTGATCTTGAGAATACTAGTTGGAGTATAGTAGTATTATAGTTGATATTGAGCATACTAGTATATATTATTATAATGAAAGAGTTAACACAACCTTAGCATGCCTTAATTAGCAAATGTTATTCCCACATATACCAATTGGTGGTGTAAAGGATAGTCAGGAATCCAATGAGCTGGCAGGTGTACCAAGAAACAAAACCAAAGAATTCTTGCATGCATGGCTCCAATAACCATGGAAATGAGCCAATGAGAGGCGAGGACAAGGAACTGGACTGGAGGACAATTGGCCATTCACGTTATTCTGGCTTATCTTTTGGGACAAATCAAGAGGGGTAGCAGTTAGCATATGCAACAAGAACACCAATTGCAAACCAGGAAGAAGCGAACAAGCCATGCGTGCCATTTCTTTAGGGAGCACGAGCTGGAGGGCTCTACTATGCTCTCGTGATACAAACTCTTGTGAACAAGACAGCATGCAGCATCTCTTGGAGCTCTTTAGGCCCGGAGCGCGTATGAAGTGATCAAACAGCGCCGAGAATGTCTCGAATGGCGAGCTCGCCAAGCAGAGAATATCACGTCCATCCATGTGGCGAGACGGCTATACGTACTGCCGGCTCCATCTGCTTATCCTCTCAACGCATGCATGCTCTTGTGCTCATGCCTGCCCTTGCTGCTACATACTGTATATATGCGCCATGGACACATCCATGCATGTCACGAGTGGTCGATGAACCTGGCAGGTAGCTATCTAATCCCTCCGTTTCAGGTTATAAGACGTTTTGATTTTGGTCAAAATTAAACTGTTTCAAATTTAATTAAGTTTTTAGACAAATATAGTAATATTTATAATACTAAATTAGTTTCATCAAATCAATAATTGAATATATTTTCAAATAAATTTGTGTTAGGTTAAAAATGTTACTATTTTTTTCTACAAACTTGGTCAAACTTAAAGTGGTTTAACTTTAATTAAAGTTAAAATATCTTATAACTTGAAACTAAGGGAGCGGTAGCTACAGCCGTTTCTTCCTCCATGCTGCATGCAGATTAATTTCTTATGAATTCTGAAACGAGCTTAGTCTGGATTATACCATCTTGATTACAGCATTGCTCTGGATCAGGCTTGTCACATCCAAAATTCGATCACCTCCTCGAAGCAGTAGGCACCTTGCCTATATGCATCACGAGAGGGCCGGGATCTGCAATCTGCTAGCTGCTGATGTCTGAAAGCTCAAGGCTGCATACAGCGCCTTCGCCGCTGGATTGATCAGAGAGAGAATCCGCTTGAGTCCAGGGGCTCAGATCAGCGTCTTTTCGAGCTCAGCCGGGTTAAGTTGTGGCAGAATATGCATGGCAGTGCTCCGGCGTGAGGTGTTGCCCGTGAGGCGACCAGCATGGTACTAATCCACGGATTTCTGGCTATATATGCCGCTACATATCAACTGCAGGATTAGATTGCTATTGTCCCATCCAATGCAATGCAAGAACGGAGAGAATCACACGTAGAGTGAGTGACTCACGCATTCGATTAGTAATGGACAGAACATCAACGGTGGCTAAATCTAGCAATGGCGTGCAGTGAAGTTGTGCTGACAACAAATAGTATCACACTTGTGTTATCTAGATACTATTAAAATTATCATGATCTTGACGGGTTCCATGATGCCGAAAGAAAAAAAAACAGCACTTACACTCACTGTTTTAACTATGTATACCTCCGTCCTAGAAAGATAACTTCTAACTATGTATCTATGCCAGCTTCGAGATACATATCAGTGGGGGAATCAGGTATTACAAAGTACAACCAATGCAATTTGTTAAATCTTCAAACTTTTCATTAATTTTTAAAAGGATTTACAAGGGATTAAAGGGACGAGCCTAGCGCTCAAGCCATAATTATGTTAGGCTTGTCTTCGTCACTGTTAATAGTTGATTTTTTTTCTAGTACAGACAGTAATTTTTTTTTTCGCGAATGCCCAGACAGTAAATTCACTTTCAAGGAATTGAATCAGAATTAAATCAAGATAAATTTTCGGTTACTACAGTATCATAAAGCAGATGTTCTTAGGGAATTACCTTGGAGCAACCTCCCTGCTAGTGTCAAATCTTCCAGTCAGAATTCAGAAACTGCAGCAAATAGGGGTTGGTAGAATTCAGAATTCAGAACACCGAAAGATCAGTCACAAAATCTCAGATCAGTGGACGAGTTCTCAAAAAAAGATCAGTGGATCCAGCATTGCACTGAAAACTTGCTCCCATCGATTAAACGCTCTCGCGTCGCCCTCCCCCGGGCGACTCGGGAGGCGACGCCGCCGCCGTCCTCCTCCTCCTCACGTCTCCTCCCCCCGCCTCACCGCCGCCTGAGCGGGCACCGGCAAAGCCTTGCGCCCACAAGCTAGGACGGCGGCGGTGGGGCCTCATCTCGCCTCCACGCGCTCGGCGGCTGGGGGGATGCCTTGAGTGGCGGCGGTGGTGCCTAGATCCGCGCCGGGCCCGGCCGGATCTAGGGGAGGGGCGGCTGGCGGCGGGGGCTGAAGGTGACGGCGGCGGCGTCTGGTGTTGGACGCGTCGACGCTCGTGCTGACGGTGTCGACGGCGAGGTCCTCCAGATCTGCGGGTGCCGGTGGTTGCAGCGCGGCCGGTGGCAGCGGCGGCGGTGGATGCCGACGGCAGCTGGCGACAGCGGCGGCGGGGACTGCGGTGGCGGGCGGCAGCTGGCGACAGCGGCAACGGCTATGGCGGTTCGGGCGCGTCGGCGCTCGTCCTGGCGGTGTCGGCAGCGAGGTCCTCCAGATCTGGGGGTGCTGGCGGTTGCGATGCGGCTGGTGGCAGCGGCGACGGCGGCTGGCAACAGCGGCGGCGGTGATTGCGGTGGCAGACGGCGGCTAGCGACACCGACGGCGGCTATGGCGACAACGCTGATGGCGGCTGTCAGCGACGCGACGCCCGTGGACGGCGCGGCGGCTGTGGCAGACACGGCTCTAGCGGTGACTGGCGGATGCGGCAGTGATTGCGGCGTTGGCATCGACCGGCAATGGCAGTTGGTGGGCAGTGGCATCGTCGGCTGCCGTTGGCGGAGGAGGACATGGCGGCGGCGTCGGGGCGGGTGCTGGCTGCGTGGTGGCGGAGGGTGACGGCGCAACGGCGGTCTGCGAAGGCGGTGTCGGTGGCAGCGACGACGGCGGCCGTGATTGTGGAGGCGGTGGTGATGTCGGCGGCGGGGATGGAGTTGGGGATGAGGTGAGGATGGCGACAGTGAGGTGGCTGGGTGTTCGGCAACAGCGGCTGTGGTGGTGGTGACCGTGTCTGCGGTCATCAGAGGCGTGACGGTCTCGGACGGCTAGCCGAGGGCGTGGGAGATGGCGACATCTGACCGGCGTGGCATCGTTTGGTGAAGGGGTCGGAGACTGGCTTGACGCAGAGAGGCGCAGCCGATGGGAGCGGAGGCCGGCTCGGCGCGAGAGGCGCGAGCGGCGGAGATGGAAGCCGGCGTGAGGAGGAGCTGTCGGTGGATGTGGCGCGTCTTCTGCACACGAAGGCTGGCTGACGGGAGACGCCGGTTCAGGGGTCTAACATGTCGGCAGAGCTTGTGTGGTGGTGGAGTATCAGTGCGTTAGTCGTGGATTCGCTTGTGGTGAGCGGCGGGTCGTGCTGTCTCACCCCTCAAGGGTGTTTGCCGGGTGAAAGCCTAGTCTTGGCTCCTTTGAGTCCCGACGGACGGCGGCGGCGGTTTTTCCGTCGCTTCTCTTCTTGAAGACGTCGTTCTGGCATCCCCTAGGGGGCGATCTCGTCTGTGTCCCTTTGTTGGTCTAGTGGCGGTCGGTCACGCTTAGCGGCGGTCGATCCGGTGCTAGACTTCTCCTGGGTTTGTGTGTTGGCGATGTCGGTGTGTGGGTGGTGTTTTTTTTTTCCTTTTTCCTGGTTACGACCCTCCAGGTTATAATCTTGTAATTTTTGTCCTGCTCTATCAATAGAATTTCGCATCGTCTCGTGCGAGTTGTTTAAAAAAGAGTAAATTACACCCACAGTACAACAACTTGACATGTGGGTGCAATATAGTGCAAGAACTTGAGAATTGATCAACCGAGTGCAATAACTTAACAAATGGGTGCGTTCTAGTACAATTTACATCCAATTACCACAACATATATTGAATTTTTTTGTTTTCTTCACTTTCTAAAATATCAACTGAAATATAATAATTTCTACATCCAGTTTAATTGACTTATAGTTATTATTTATTAGGATAAAAATATAAATATACTTATACAAATCTGCACTAGTATATTGTCAAAATAAGTACTTAAAAATTAAATTTATATAAAAATATGCTCCAAATAATTAAGTTGTCGCATAAATTTTTAATTTATTGTATCAAAATCGTACCTACCTTGTAAGTTGTCGTATTTATACGATCACTTATAAAGTTCTTATACTAAATTGCACCTACCTCTCAAGTTGTTGCACTAGAACGCTCATTTCTTAAGTTATTGCACCAAATTATACCCACCTACCAAGTTGATGTACCGTGGATGTAATTTACTCTTTAAAAAAAAAACATCAGTGGACGACTGACGTCCCGCACGCAGACTCCCCGCGAGCTGCAGAGCGGCACGCCGCCGCCGGCGAGCCAGGAGAATCAGACGATGGAAAAACCAAAACGTGTTCTTGGGCTTGGTACTGGACTAGGGCTAGGGCTTCCATCAAGTTGAGCATGCTATATCTGGGCTGACTTTTTATTAGGAGGCCCATCTATTTGCTCCTCAGGATTATGGGCTTTTTCAAAAGTCAAAACTGCGCCGTACTGTATGGGCCGTAGATCTGCAAGAGAAGTAAGGATGGGCTTTAGTTGGGCCAAGATAGACTGGGCCGTACTTCCTTCTGGGCTCTACTCTTCTTTTACTCCCTCACACTGCACGCCTCCTAGCTTCCTCGCCGCCATGGCCGCCGCCGGAGAAGCCCGGAACCTCGCCGTCGTGAGCAACGTTCTTCCAGGCCTCGATATAAACCAACTTTGAGGTATCATTCATTCCTTGCTTATCAATTCAGTCCAAATATTTGAAGTACTGATTGCCATTGTAAATCATCCGATCTATCATTCAATTCCAATTTCACTATGCCGCCGCCGGCCCGCCATGAACAGAGGCACAGAGCAGCCGAAGCTTCCTCACAGAAACTCCCAAGAAAGGTAGGCAAGCGCGCCTAGCATCAGGCCAGAGACCGAGCTCAACGACCCAATCGATTGATTTGATAAAACAAGCGCGAGGACAAGATGCCTCGCTCGAACTAGCTAGCAGGTGGATCCAAAGAGCTCCCTTGGCATCACTAGTTGAACGACATGGCGGCATGCTCCCTTGAAACCGACGTGCCCCCAACCGATGCCGTGATCTGCAGGCAAGGCAAGACGGCGATCGAGCAATTAGCAGTCCTTGTTGAAACCACGGGCCACCAATTCAGTAGCTAGCAAATAGCATTAGCAAGCTGCGAGATCAGTTGCATTCAAGAGATCTGTGCATCGAGATCCTACTACAGATGGAATCGTAGAAAGATGAAGTACGTATTTGTGGTGGTATACAGACAATCGACTGGGGCTTCAGAGAGTGACCTGAAAGACTTTAAGCTTGGAGACTGAAGAGTTGGGGAAGAATGCAGTGCACAGAGCTTGCATTTTGGAGTGTTTCAGTTGTTTAATCCGAGCTATTAAAGAACCGAGGAGTTCGTGGATTGGCGCTTAAAGAGTGCAAAGATTGCCGACTGGTATCGATTCCCTGGAGTTAGGGTTATCCTTACCAGCCTAGAGATAAGAGATAGTTACATGTATGCTAGTTAATCTGCCAAGTTGCCCAAGAAAATCCATTCTATTCTGGAGTATGTGATTGAGCTCTTTGTTGCTGCATGCAGCAATGTCACTGTCGGAGTAGCTACTCGGCCGAGAGGATCAATCCATGTACGATTCTTCTTTGACAGTTTTTGACCTTTTGCGTCATCGTAATTCGGCCTTTTGTCCGGCTTTTGTCTGCTCGTATGAAATTTTCAGAACCGAATGAACGTCGTGGCGTTTCTGAAGGCGATTGAGAATGACAGGTTGCATGTTTGGTGCGAAACAGACGTTTTCGTTGAACGGATTGGCTATTTTGAACTGCTTGCCATTGCAAACAGACAATTTCTTTTTTTGAAACAGTTGCAAACGGACAATTGGCAAATATAATCAGGCCAGCTGTGATGATAGGAGGCATCTTTGCTTTGCTTTTCAACTAAAAGTCAGTGGGGCATTGATTTGCAGCAACTTAATTAGGAACTTTTTGAGTGCTTACATTGGTCACTAACCCTACATTGACTACCTTTGACAGTTAAAAGATAGCATATGACAGAGCAGCAATAATAATTTTATATTGTACATACTACTGAAGTTCAGTACTAAATTCAACTTGATCGATGGAACCCATCGATTTGTAAATAAATCTTGACTATCAACCCAAGGGTTGAAACTTGATACATCCCTGCAGATTATTTTTTTCACGAACATGTAAAAGAATTACACGTCAATCAATCAGAAGAAAGCAGTAACAAGTTACACAACGCAGCGAGGAGAATTAGAGGGTGATACAGAAACCGGCTTTTACATCTCTGCAGATTAGTCGCCTTGTGATTTACTATGTTAGGAGATCTTCCACTTGCACGTCACTATCACTCGAATTGTTTCTTGATGATATTTGCTACAGAAATTTGAACTTCAGACAGATTTTGCATGGCTGTCATTAGTACCCCCTACACATGTTTGGTCAGTTGGCAAACTGAATTTTTCTTTGCTCCTGCTTACTTATTGACTTAAGTGTTTGTTAGTGTTACCGAAAATAGATTTTTTTTAAAAAAAAGAAACTGACTTTATATATTAACAACTTAAAAATAACAGTACTGTATTACTGTTCTGCCTAATTCTTGTGACTGATGCCAGAGGTAATTGAACAAAAGTTGACCCAATCTGACGTGGATGCATGAATGTGCAGAAGTTCAGCTTGGTGCCAGCTTATTTGAGGCCCAAATCTAGCCAGGAACTGCGGAAAATTCTATCACCAAGAATCAAATATAGCCATGTGCGTAGCCATCTCCCTTGACCATTAGAGAAGAAATTCAGTTCATCTGCACCATCTTTCATATTATTTTAAGACAGATTGATCTACAGACAAGCATTACCAGTGTTATAAGGATTGAGATCATCTGACTTAAAATCACGTGACTTTGAGTCATTGATATGTGAGCCTTCTTTGCCATGGACCCACATATCAATGACTATAAAATCACCTGACTTAAGGCAGAGGATCTCAACCCGTGTTATAAGGGAAGTAATTTCATCCTTAAGAAGATATATCGTTCCTTTTTGCATGCTATCCAAATAATCATGAAAAAATATGAAAAGTTTTTTTACAAGATAGAGCATTTTTAATATATCATTTCACACAAATGGAAGTTTAAATTTGGCATATACAAGTTATAACAAATATGTAATAGTATGCATATTTAGCATCATTTTTGTTTTTTTTCACAACATATGTAAGTTAAATTTAAACTTGTATATTTGTGAAGTGATACATCACATATTGAATATTTTTTTCATGGCTATATAAAAGACATACGAAAACGAGAGGGATGAAAAATCCATCTCCATGCTATTAGTGATGGTGAGGTGATTTGCAACTTGCAAGATTGTTGCCCTTCGCATAAACTGGGTAGGTCTGCAGGCTTTAGCGACATCTACTGATGAACACTTTGAAACAAAAGGAACTGCCAACTGCCATTATCAAGGAAAGCAAACATCTTCTTTACATTCTCCATGTCCACTTAATAAAGCCAAACCCAAGCAAGCATGCATGCTCTGTTCTATATTCAGGCTTATCAGACAGGAGTACATGACCAACCAATATTCTCAACCTTTTAGCGATGATCGTGATTTCTCTCCCATAACCATATCGTACCAGCTAGCAGGGTTGCCGTCGTGTGGCTTCCATGTCCATGCATTGTGATAGTAACCATACTAAAACCATGAACAAAACGCATCATAAGTACATCACATCTCTAAAAAATATGCAGCATATGGCTGACATGCTACCAACAGACTGTCACGGGCGCAAAAATGACAACACATTTAGCTCTCACATATAAATGCACATATGCAACACATGCAATTCAGGCCATTGCATACACACACAGAGTTGTTTGCATTGTAGATTGACAATGGCCTCTTGTCTGTCAGTCCTGTTGCTCTTGTGTCTAGCACTTGCAGGTTCAGTCTCCGGGCAACAACTGTCGGCTACATTCTATTCGAGGTCGTGCCCGAGAGCTCTGGCCATCATCAGGGCCGGCGTGAGAGCTGCGGTGGCGCAGGAGCCTCGCATGGGGGCGTCACTGCTCAGGCTTCACTTCCATGACTGCTTTGTCCAAGCAAGTCGTGCATTTCCACACTACTTGACTTACATTTTTATATCCATCAGTCAATTACATTGTGGTCGCAGCCTTTGCAGTTTCAGTTCTTTACACTCTTTCAGTCTCTCTTCCAGTTTAATGTGCTGCGTCAGAACAGAATGGACTCGTAGCACTGTGTTGACGTTGGATTAGAGAGACTATGGCCACCGAATTTGCTCTCAAGTCATACTAGTTCCTACTACTACTCTGAATTAACCTGAAAAAATTAACTCAACGTGCTAATTGTGTGTTGTGCATCGTGGGTGACATGGATCAGGGGTGCGACGCGTCCGTACTGCTGAACGACACGGCCAACTTCACCGGCGAGCAGGGGGCGAACCCCAACGTCGGATCCATCAGAGGATTCAACGTCGTCGACAACATCAAGGCGCAGGTCGAGGCCGCGTGCAAGCAGACCGTCTCCTGCGCCGACATCCTCGCCGTCGCCGCCCGCGACTCCGTCGTCGCCGTAAGATCATGCCCATCCTTGAGCGCGCAGCTATACGTACTATACGGCGAGCGGCGAACTGAACTTGTGTGTGTGCAGTTGGGTGGGCCGTCATGGAGGGTTCTTCTCGGGAGGCGTGACTCGACGACGGCGAGCTTGGCGCTGGCGAACAGCGACCTGCCACCTCCGTCCTTCGACGTCGCCAACCTCACCGCCTCGTTCGCCGCCAAGGGGCTGAGCCAAGCCGACATGGTGGCGCTCTCCGGCGCGCACACGGTCGGGCAGGCGCAGTGCCAAAACTTCCGCGACAGGCTCTACAACGAGACCAACATCGACGCCGCCTTCGCGGCGGCGCTCAAGGCCAGCTGCCCGCGGCCGACGGGCAGCGGCGACGGCAACCTGGCGCCGCTGGACACGACGACGCCCACCGCGTTCGACAACGCCTACTACACCAACCTGCTGTCGAACAAGGGGCTCCTGCACTCCGACCAGGTGCTCTTCAACGGCGGCGCCGTCGACGGCCAGGTCCGGTCGTACGCGTCCGGGCCGTCGAGGTTCAGAAGGGACTTCGCGGCGGCCATGGTGAAGATGGGGAACATCGCCCCGTTGACGGGAACGCAGGGACAAATCAGGCTCGTCTGCTCCAAGGTGAATTAATTAGCGGTGATCATCAACGAAAATTCTGAGTGCATGAGGGGACAATAATAAGGCTATATATGCCACTGAAATCGATATTTGTGCTTTGCACTGATCAGTGATCATGTTCACGCTTTCTTGGATCAAATTGTGTCCGAGAAAGTGGCGTGTTTGCAAGAATTTGATCGTGTACACTGAATTCTGAAGAGCCCTCATGCAAATGCCCGCGAGATTAACTCCCTTGCCTAAATATGTCCTTGTGCTCGGTTACTTCTTTGCAAAACGCTGCATGGTTGGAATATTTCACTGAGCTCCCCATATATTGTACATATTGCTTAAAACGTTATTATAAAAAAAGAAGTGCTAAAAATTTGGCGACAGTTTTTTTATAAATATTATCAATTTTCTAGCCTTTGGATTACCTCCAAGATTCGTGCAGCGGGGATAGGAGAGAAAAAAATTGGCTCTTAACAAAACTAATCGATTTTCTAGCCTTTGGGTTACCTCCAAGATTCGTGCAACAGTAGAGAAAAAATGGAAGTGCGCAGGCGGACGTTGGGAATCGACCAACTCTGTAACACTTTATAAATATGTAAGTTTAAATTCAATATATATATAAATAAGAGAAAATAATAAATTTAAATTCAAACATATATGCTTGTGGAGTGATATGTCATCTGTATAAAAAATATATTTTTTATGATCTTTTTGGTGACATGAAAATAAATGCACCGGTCACACGTTTGCAGACTATCTGATCGTCCCACAAAAGGTGCAACAAACATAATATTGTCAAGCTGGATTGATTTTTCTTCTATATGAAGTTATAAACCACAAATACGTACGTACACATGCTGTGTATCTCTGAAAAATACGCAGTGTGTACCTGAAGCACGCCGCAGATTATTGGTCAAACAGCCACAATTGTTGATCTCTGCGCTATGCTTATTCACACTCACAGGAGTGTACGTTAATTTGCTTCGTGGATTTATACAGAAATTTTGAAGGAACCATCCAAACATTTTGCGCCGACCGATCGAAACATTTTTTGAACTCTTATTGCACTGTTTGCCGTAGCTAGCTTGCAAAAGAACAACTTGGAATAAAAATGAAATGTACACATGCAGTATGCACTGTCGTCCATCCCTCTCCGCGCTCATTGTGTGCAGCGTACCAAGTCGTCCACTTGTGTTCATGTCGCCATCGTCATTCAAATTTTGAAATCGATTTTTAACTACTACTACTACATCATTCAGTATAATTCAATTTCAAACCTACAAACACACTTTCTGCATGTTAGGGTTACTAACAAGAGCAAACTAGCTAAGGACTAAGATATTCGAGATCACGATTGTATTATCCTAATCCAACAGGATCAGGCCTCCGCCGCCATCGCCTCCAAGTGATCTCAGTTCATACCCTCTCCTCTGTTCGTTCTTCTGTTTATATCAGTCTCAACACCTCATGACAGCTGTCGGAACAGCACAACTCACGCACGCCATCGCGCAGGATGGACTTAGTTACTTGGCCCACTCTGGCCCGACAACACGCACACTGGGCTTCTTATGACGACGCCCCCGGCCCAGGATAGGTGCCTCCTCCCTGTCGCCCTGTAGCGCGTCATCTGCCTTGCCGTCCATCTTCAGTTCTTCAGATTCTTCAGACTTGTCGTCAGCCCTCCCTCCTGGAGCCTGAGTCCTTCCAAGGCTTGGCCTGACAATCCCCCATTCTTGAAAATTGGCTTGTCCCCAAGCCAATGCTCGCGGAAAGCGATTGCATAAATCCTCCATATCCTCCCAAGTGGAATCCTCTGCAGATGAATCTGACCAATGCGTCAGTAATTGAACCACAACGCGATTACCTTTTTTAGTCAGACGTTTATCCAAGAATTGGAGGGGAATCTGAAATGCTCCCAAGGAAGATGGTAATTCCTCTTGCACTGGTTTAGAAAACCCCACAGCAGCTCGTAATTGGGACACATGAAACACTGGATGAATGGAACTGCCAGCTGGTAGCTGTAAGCGATAAGCAACAGATCCCACCCTGTCAAGAATCTGAAATGGGCCAAAGTAGCGGAAAGCCAATTTGTGACAAGCACGTTGAGCTACCGACGTCTGTACATAAGGCTGTAGTTTTAAGTACACCCAATCCCCTACTTTAAACTGCCTGAAACTGCATTTCTTATCAGCTTGATGTTTCATCTGTTGTTGAGCTCGATGAAGATGCTGCTGTAATAACTGTTGCATCAGCTTCCGCTCATTATGCCATTCCTGCAAATCAGTGATCTGACAATCCTCTATAGTAATGCCAAAGTGAGCTGGAGTGTACCCATATAAGACTTCAAAAGGAGTTTTGCCCAAAGTAGAGTGAAAGGAGTTGTTATACCAGAATTCAGCAAGATACTACCAAGATGCCCACTTCCTTGGAGTAGCATGCACAAAGCAACGAAGATAAATTTCCAGACACTGATTAACTCGTTCGGTTTGCCCATCCGTTTGAGGATGATAAGCTGAACTTTTATGCAGTTTAGTTCCAGACTTAGAGAAGAGCTGCTCCCAAAATTGACTCGTGAAAATCTTATCTCTATCAGAAATAATCACATGAGGTAGGCCATGGAGCTTGTAGATGTGTTTCATGAACTCTTGAGCTACTGCACTTGCTGTGAAAGGGTGGGAAAGGGGAATAAAGTGACTGTATTTGGAGAACTTATCAATTACCACCAACACACAATTATAATGAGATGAACGTGGCAACCCTTCTATAAAATCAAGCGAAATCACTTGCCATGCTCCAGCTGGAACTGGCAACGGCTGCAGTAGTCCAGGATATTTAGCCCTGTCTGGCTTGGCTTGCAAGCAAACTTGACAGGACTGCAGATGAGTCTTAATCATTTTCTTCATTCCAGTCCAAGCAAACATGCCTTTAGCTTTTCTATAGGTTACAGGAAAACCTGAGTGATCACCGAAAGGAGTAGAGTGAACCTCAGTGATGATCCTGTGCTGCAATGCAGGATTGTCTCCCACCCAAATTCTGCCCTTGTACTTCAATACTCCATTGCACAATTGATAGTGGGGTCTGCTGCTACCATTGACAATTAGCTCCGAAATGATCTGCTTGGTGTGAGGATCCTGATCATAACCTTGAATCAGGTCTTGCATCCATAGCGGTACACATTCAGACACAGCGTGTATCTCACTGGTAAATGGCTCCCTTCTTGAAAGAGCATCGGCAGCAGCATTAGAAGAACCCTTTCGATAGCAGATCTTATACTGAAGACCCAAGAGCTTAGTGAAAGCCTTCTGTTGCCAAGGAGTATGCAACCGTTGATCAGTTAAATGCATCAAACTATGATGATCAGTGAGGATAGTAAATTCCCCATGCTGCAGGTATGGTCTCCAATGTTCTACAGCCAGCAATATAGCCATGTATTCCTTTTCATAGGTGGACAAGCGTTTAGTTTTAGGACCAAGAGCTCTGCTAAGGAAAGCAATGGGATGCTTGTCTTGAGAAAGAACAGCTCCAATCCCAAGTTCACTGGCATCAGTTTCTACAGTGAATGATTTAGAAAAATCTGGCAATGCGAGTACAGGAGCAGAGCATAATGCTTGTTTAAGTTGTTGAAAAGCAGTTTCAGTTTCCTCAGTCCACTTGAATGGTATTCCCTTTTTGAGTAATTGAGTCAGGGGTCGGCTGATCACACCGAAATTCTTAACAAATTTTCTATAATAACCTGCTAAGCCCAGAAAGCCCCTCAACTTCTTGATAGTAGTTGGTTGGGTCCAATTAACTACATCTTGAATCTTTCGTGGGTCAGTAGATACTCTTTGAACTCCTATCACGTGTCCTAAATAAGATATCTCTTGTTGAGCAAAGGAACACTTACTTAGTTTGACCTTCCACTGACTAGCAGAGAGTAATTGTAAAACTGTTCTGATGTGGAGCAGATGTGATTCCAATGTGGGACTATAAATCAAAATGTCATCAAAAAAGACCAAGACAAATTTCCTTAGGACAGGGGACAATGTGTCATTCATGGCATTAAGGAAAGTAGCTGGGGCCCCAGTAAGGCCAAAGGACATCACCTTGTACTCATAATGCCCAGAATGAGTTTGGAAGGCTGTTTTATACTCATCTCCCTCAGCCATTCTGATCTGATGGTATCCAGCTCTTAAATCTAACTTGGAAAACCACTGGGCCCCTGATAATTCATCTAACAGCTCTTCTATTACTGGGACAGGATACTTGCTCTTGACAGTGATATTGTTCAACTGTCGATAATCAATACAGAGACGCCAGGATCCATCTTTTTTCTTGACAAGAAGGGCAGGAGAAGAGAAAGGACTGTGGCTGGGTTGAATGACTCCAGTCTTAAGCATTTCAGTGACTTGTTTTTCGATTTCATCTTTCAGAGCTGGCTTATACCGGTAGGGTCTCAAATTGACAGGTTTGGCTCCTTCAATGAGGGGAATATGGTGGTCACATGTTCTCTTAGGAGGTAATTCAGTAGGTTCAGAGAATAGTTCCTGAAATTCTTGAAGTAAGGGTTGTACAATAGTGGGGATGACAGCATGTTCAGGAACTTCCACAGCATTCAGCTGAACCATACACATGATAGATCCATTCTTGGACATACCCTGTAACTGTGCTCCTGTTATGGTTGGACAGCAATCAGTCTGAGGAACAATGCCCTGAAGTTTCACCAGCTGATGTTGATGTTGGAATTCAAGCCACTTATGAATCCAATCAATTTGCATAGGGCTAAACTGCTCCAGCCAATCCATTCCCAATATCACATCATAATTACCCAGTGGCAATAACCTGAAATCACTGGTAAAATTATGACCCTGTGTCCACCAGTTGCACTTAGGCAAAAACATATCACAAGCTATCTGCCCTCCATCAGCCACTTGTACCTTAATGGTCTGAAGTAATTTCTGGACACCATGCAATTTGGAGCCAATCTTAGTGTCAATAAAAGAATGAGTACTACCCGAATCCACCAGCATGAGTAACTCTGTACCCTGGACCCAGCCTCTGAGTCTAATTGACTTAGGAGAATCGGTACCATGCAAAGCATGAAATGATATTGCCATCAAAGAATCGTCATCAATTTCAGGAGTTCCATCAGAACAGCTATTTTCTTCACCTCCAGATTGCAGGGCATGAATCAACTCCTCAACAATATGGAGTTGGACTGATGTAGCACATTTGTGATCCTTACTCCATCTCTCACCACAAACAAAACAGAGCCC